CCCCAGGTAATTTCATTGGTGGGGGGGGGCTGCCCCGACCAACGCTAAGGCCAAATTACAAAGAAGCAGGAATGCAAGGAGCTTCGCTTTCAGTGAGCCGCCGTGCAGTCCCCATCCGTCCACCACCCGGGCCCTGCCATCAGGCTGGTTGGACAGCTTGGCTTCCGGCAGTCTTTCCCCTGTCTGGTTTGGCTGGCCGGGGCAGAAAGCACCACCGCCAGGGTCCCGTGAGGGCTGGATGTTCCCTCAGTTCCATCTTCAGGCAGACACAGTCATTCCTTCCAAAGGAGCAGTGTTCACGAGACCTAGCCTGGCACCACCTGTGTAAGGCCTGCCTCTGCAGACACCTGAGGACTAAAAGCTGGGTGCCAGCTGGTGACGTCCCGGTGTTCCTGCGGTTGGGCTCTCGGTGTCTCCGGAGAGGGGAGGAAGAGGAGGAAGGGGGCGAAGGAATGGAGGGAGGGAGAGTGAGAGCGAGTCGTGTGCCTGGGGGGAGAGGGACCGAATTCAGGGCAGTCACGGAGAACTTTCTGGAGGTGGCAGCCCGACTAGAGTCAATGCACTCTGCACAGAGAAGGATGGGGGTGACTTGGGGGGGCAGCACCAGGGCTGTGAGCCCCAATGGATCTGTGCAAAGGCCCTGTGGTAGGTGTGGGAGAAACAGGGCTATAGGCCAGCAGGTGTGGAAGGGTTCAAGTTCAGGCAGGGTCCACTCAAAGCCAAGGGACGTCATAGCTCTGGGAACTTTGGTGGCAGGGAGGCAGGCCCGTCATGTGCACCTTCTTCTGCAAAGTCTGTCCCCCAGCGATGCACCCCGTGCCATCTGGCCCCACCCCCCCAGCAGTACACCCACTCCTGCTGGAGCAGCCGTGGCACCAGCTGGAGCCTGTGAGGAAATAGACAGGAGACAAAAGTGGGAACAGCAGGCCATGGAGAGAGTGTCTAAACACAGGGACTATGTGGGGACCGTCTTTTATTTTTAGTTTGAAGTTGGTCCACCCTCCAGCATCGTGGAAATGGCTCACCGGGCCGGGGCCCCAGCGGCAGTCTTACCTACTCACTGGTCACCCTGGAAATAAGCCCTTGGGGCCTCAGTCTGCCCATCCATGGATGGGGCGGCCTGGGGCCCATCCTGCGTGTGGCTCGGGGACAGGACCAGACAGCCCGCCCGGTGGCCGGCCCGGTGCCGGGCTGACGGCGTCTGGAAGGCCTGGCTGCAGGGAGGGGCCGCTCTCCAGACGGCTCTGCAGAGACCATACAGACAGAGCGAAATCAGCCAGTCGGCTTCAATTCCCGCTGATGATGTCCATGTGTCATTAGTGCCGATTAGGAGAGCGAGGGACAGGGACGCAAGGGTGTGCCCCGGGGCACAGGCTGGTGGGAGGGTCACCGGGACAATTGAATTCCCTACCAGACAAATGAGATTACCGGGGCAGCTTGGGCCCACCCCCTGGAGGGCCAGGACATAAAAGTCCCAGTGGGCCGGCCGAGCTCGCCCGGCCATGCAGGTCCCCAGCCCTAGCACGAGAGAGGCAGCGTCCATGTATGGCACGGTGGTGGCCATCTTCCTGGTCATCTTGGTGGCCACACTGCAGAGCTCGGTCCCCCCCGAGAATCCCTTCCCCTACCGAGTACCCTTGGATCCCGAGGGGTCCCTGGAGCTTTCCTGGAATGTTAGCTACACGCAGAAGACGGTCCACTTCCAACTCCTGGTGCAGGAGCTCAAGGCCGGGGTCCTGTTTGGGATGTCAGACCGCGGCGAGTTGGAAAATGCTGACCTGGTGGTGCTCTGGACCGACGGAGACAACACCTACTTTGGGGTAAGTCGTGCCGCACCCCAGCGCGCCTGACCTTGTCCTCACCCAGCCCCCGCCCGGCCTTCACCCTGCACTCACCCCCTCTCTTAACCCAGCAAAGGAAGCTCTCCCTCCTCTGCCTTCCTGTTTACTCTGACCTTAGCCAAGTCCACGCCCCAAGCTCGGGCATCTCGGGGATTCTGATCTGAGGACAAAAGGGACGCCCTTGCGGTCTCTGACCGCACATCCCCAAACAGGACACGGCGCGCCAGCACGCCTGTGCACCGGCCACTCGCGTGCCAAGCAGATGAAGGTATCCGCTGCCCCCCACCGATGAGGGTGGGGCCTGCGTCCCC